TTAAAACACCAGATGAGTACAAAATAGACAGAATTATGTTTCAGTCCTGAAGAAAGAGAAGGATATTATCAATTCTCCAGAAGCTTTGAGGTCTTTCTGGAGACCACAGTACACAAAGAATTGGAGCTAAAGGAATAAAGACTATCTTTACAGTAAAAATAGTCAAAGAATGGATCCTGTGAGGACAATAAGCACCTAAGATTCCCTTCATAGAAGCCCAAATCTGGAGAAATAACAGTATGTAGATCTGAGGGGGAAAATATATTCATAAATTGCTGGTAGGAGAGCAAACTGGTACATTTTGATGGGCATTTTTGTAATACTAGCTCTATGAAAAACTTAAAAATTTGCAAACCTTTTGACTAAATCACTTAACCAATGTACAATAATGGATGCTCATGGTAGCATGCTTTATAATGTTGTAAAGGGCTAGGGAAAAAAAGACCTAAACTTTCACAGATAGAATATCAATTAGATGAATCATGGTAAATTAATACAACATACTGTGCCACTGTAGGATAGATTTCATTGTGTAAATATGAAGAGCAAATGGGATCGAGTGACTGTCTAGTAGGTTCAGTCTTGTGTGTGCATCTGAGGCCCCACACCTATTGAAATGGAATTATTTTTATAGCATACTGTGAAGTGAACAAAAAACATATTATAAAACAATTGATAGCACAACCCCAAATAGATATAAATATGTATTCTAGTTGCCTAATAGGATGACAGCAAAATATGAAGACTACTTACCTGTAGTGTATAGGATTTATGAGGAATTTTCTTTCCTATTAACTAGCAGTAATTTCTAATTTTTCTAAACTAATTTGAGTAAAAACAAATAGCTTTTTAAATTCTGTGAACTGTGAATTTTAAAGTAGGATACTGTGCAGCATTCAAGAGACAGAATTTAATGTATTACTAAGCCCTTCGTGCACTCCTTGATCTTGGCAAACTAGAACATGCTGTTCCATAACCAAATCCAGGAGGGAAAATGCACTGTCTCATCCAAAGGATGCAAACATATTTAGCCTAACAAGAAATTGGCTCATTGGAGGCTTTTATAGCACACAAGGTCAGAAAGTAGTTCGCATAATTTTCTCATGCTCCTTTTATAGTGTTTATCTTTTATAAGGCTATTTGGAACAGTCACTAGCCACCTGTCAATAATGTGGCCTTTTGTAGACTCAGCCTTATATTGTTCTCATGCCCTTGACATATAAAACACAGACTTAGAAGAAGTCAGTGTTGATTACAGTGAGCAAAATACTAATTTTAAATTTAAAAGGCCACCTTTTGTAGACTGAAATAAAGAGAGTTTTCAATGACATGAAGAGAATGGGCATGTTATGAAACCCTTTTTAGCAGGCAGAAAAAAAACCACCCTCTTCATCAACATTTTTGGAAAGTTAGTTAAGAATTATATTTAAAGTACTAGCCTATGGAAAACTAAGCCAAGGAGCATTCATTTAAAGTTGTTATAAGAATTTTGCATAATCTTGCATCAGTTCCAACTGAAAATATTTCTATTGTGAGCCTGTTGATTATATAAATATTTGGGTATGTAAACAGTTCATTCAAATGTTTTTTTTAGTGGGGTAAGACATCCAGTATTTCTTTCTTGATTTATGTAAACTCTGTCAGGCTAAATGTTCTGTATATATTTTGACCTACATCCTAGAAGTGTTTTGCGTGATACTGAATGAACACAGTCCTACAAATCTGTATGCAGGAATACATTTCCACTTATAAAGGGATATTATCCAAGGCCTTAAGTAAAAAGCTGCCTGTCCTTTGTTTTGTGCAGTTGGATTCCAGGTCCCCTTTATGTTATAGTGAACCAGAACAATAAATAAAGCAAGTTTTAAACCAGTGAAAATTCTTTCTGTCCTTGTTAAAAAGCAAACATCGCGCACACAGACCGCGCACACACACGTGCCACCTTTCCAACAGCACCATTTCCCACATAGTAATAGCAGACATCGGGCTACAATTTAACATTGTGCAGAGAGAGATAGGAGTTCAGTATCAGTCTCACATTCTATTTGGGAGAAGACGTCTTTGTGTTTTCCTTGATAGAGTTTGCATATTGTGCTTTCAGATTGCCCTTTGAAACATTTGTACCCCCTGACACATGATAGCTAATTGGGCTAACAATTCTTAGCTGTCAAGAGCAATTTTAGATGTGGTCCCCTTTCTGTTCAATGTGTTATTATTTTTAAACTGCTGGAGGAAAGAAGTAGACAGCCCTTCATCGGGTGTACAGTGCTAAAGATCTGATTTTTCAAAAGGTCTGTTAATTGGACATGTGTAATACCCAAGGTGCAATGAAAAGATAAGACAGCAGTTAAAGCCTACGAAGTGAATGAGTTTTTTTCAGGTTCATTGGTGGTTATTTTGCCACCTCCACTTTCACTGGTGCCCCCATACATTTTATCTTCCTTCAGCCTAGAGGGTGTTTTTATAGATCTCCATGGAATATGCTCAGGGTTGCCTGTCTTCGGGTTCTCAATGGAAATGTACTTGGAATAAAGTAAGCCCAATACAGTTTTCTATACATAAATGGTTAATAGGAATCTGCGATGATATTTTTGGAATGAAAATTGAATTGTATTTGTATTTAGAATGTATGCTTTTCCTAGTGATCTAAGTAAACTTTAGAATATCAATGTGTATGAAATAGTGTAGAAGTTTTCTTGAACTCAATTTCTTCCTTTCTGTTGGCATTGACATCAAGCAGGTAGTACAGTTAATATCTTTAAATGCCAAATTTACAATTTGCTATAAATTTTTTTAATTTTTAGATTGAGGATAAAAGACTAGCTTCTTATTAGTTCTAATCTGATGGATCAGTCTAATTTCATAATTAATATCAAAGATTAGAAAACCATCAAATATCAAGAAGTTCTCCTGAGTCTGGAATTTAGACTCTGAGTTAATGAAAGACACTCATAGTTTGAAATTTAGATGTAATGGCATATAGCTTACTCCTCACTTGAGGGCCCAACATAAACCTATCTTTATATGCTGTGTTTAGGGCAGGAAATAAGAAGGACTGATTCGTTCAGGCACAGTGGGGAAAGGAGTAAGTACCAAAGGCGTGTGGAATTAATTCTAAATGTTTATACATATTACTGTGTTTCCTTCCTGAGAAGAGTCCTAGGTTCCATGATTCCTAACTGAATGTTTACAAAATCTTTAAGAGAGCATCAACAAGGTTATGAGTATATATTTTCCTTTCACAAGTTAAAAATAACATAAAAATATCAGGTATGGATGTGGACAGATGTAACAGACTCACTGAACTCATAAAATTTTGACATCAGCACTCTGGGAACACTGTTTCTGTAAATGTATTTAAAGTCCCCTATGACTCTTCACATGTGAGATTCATAAAGTACTGACATGGAATGTACAATTCTTATTTTCATGCAATAGTGATTCGTTTGCACAATATTTTCAATCTCTTTTCTGTTTACAATTCCATTATTCCATTTGTAATGAAGTTAACATTATCAAGTTGTAAACACCTTCCTATATAAATAAAATTAAATGTTGAAATTATTTATGATAAGCACGTTCTTCATATTTCATTCTTTGTAGATTAATCATTTTGTGTGGGTGTATCGTAAGTCGCAAGCTCTACAACCTAGGCTAAATCGTAAAACTAAAAGTCAGAACTGGAATCTGAAATCAAGGATGGTTTTGTTACTCATTCAAGATGTGAACTTGGCAAATCACTCCCCCTTCTTGTCACCAGTTCTTTTCATTCCCAGAGTGAGTCTGTTGGCCTCGTTTAGTGGTTTTCACTTTACGGCAACAGAAACATCTTGTCAGATGAAATCTTATGCGTAATCTCAACATGTATAAAAATAAATAGTAGTAATGGAGCTTTTCTTGTAGAAGCAACAATGAGGGAGGAAGGAGGGCAGTGGGGTGGGGTTGGGGGACCCTGAGGCCCAACCCTTTAGCTGTCCCCCACCTTCCCACATAGCCTATTAAAGATGGCTCTAGGCTACATCAAATAATTTCTCACATTTCATGGAGCACACTTCAAAAATCATGCAATCATGTGATCATCACGTTTCTTTAAAATTCCAAAATAACGTGATTCTCAATTTCATCATTTGAGATTTGTCTGTTAAAACACTGAAACCCTATTATCTACGTTAAAAAATAATACATGCAGATACAAGGGGCTTTCAATCTGTGCTAAGACGGCTTCATAGGTAAAAGGCCCACACTTTCCAGTAAAGCCACTGACTTAAGTATCCCCCAAAACAGCTCTATAATACCAGAGAGTTCATACCTAGGAAATGAATGGATTGATAAAACTCCAAATAACCCGTCCATGTTCAGAAAATGGCAATAGTCTTAATTTAAATTCTCTCATCTATTTTTCACACTTCACCAGGGAGATGAGGAAAATGATCGATTTAAAGGCAGAATGTGCTTGAATGAAGATTTTCTCTTTGGTTGCCAGAAACTAAGCTGTCAGCACACACACACATACAACTATTAGACGCTTAGCCACAATGTAAAGCAACCAGAAATGAGGCAGAACGGAGCATATTCTACCAAATCGTTAATTGCTCGGGAAGAGAAGGGCCTGCGGGAGGCGAAGTCCTGCGCGTGGGTCGTTTTCTTTCCCGGTTGCTGGCGTGGATCACGGTTAGGAGGCGCACAGTGGGTTTTCACTGACTAACTGCCGGTGTCCTCTACAACCTAAAATTAAGAAAACGAATAAAAGCAAGCTTTTAGTCACCCCCAGGGGACCCAGGGTGAAATTGCGCGGGCAGTCACCATATATAGACTCTGACACAGTTCCCCTCGGCAGGACTGAGCGCGTGCAGATGGTTACTTTCCAGCAGCCTGCGCGGAGACCTACTTTGTAACACTTCGGGGGAGGTCAACGCCCTAGATCTTGCACTGCCTTTCTGGAACGGAAAGTAACCTCGAGTTTCCTCTGGTCGCACTGCTAACTCTCGTGTCGTTTTCAGGTCCGTGGGGCCGGTGCATGGGGGATGAATGTGGCCCGGGAGGCATCCAGACCCGGGCCGTGTGGTGCGCGCACGTGGAAGGCTGGACGACGCTGCACACCAACTGCAGGCAGGCCGAGAGGCCCAGCAACCAGCAGAGCTGCTTCAGAGTCTGCGACTGGCACAAAGAGCTGTACGACTGGAGGCTGGGGCCCTGGAACCAGTGCCAGCCCGTGATCTCACGAAGCCTGGAGAAGGCCCTGGAGTGCACCAAGGGGGAAGAAGGCATCCAGGTGCGAGAGGTCGCGTGCGCGCACAAGGAGACGGGCGCGCCCGCGGAGGACCTCATCTGCGAGTACTTCGAGCCCAAGCCGCTGCTGGAGCAGGCCTGCCTCATCCCCTGCCGGCAGCCCTGCATCGTGTCCGAGTTCTCCGCCTGGTCCGGCTGCTCCAAGACGTGCGGCAGCGGGCTGCAGCGCCGCGCGCGCCACGTGGTGGCGCCGCCGCAGTTCGGAGGCTCGGGCTGCCCGAACCTGACCGAGTTCCAGGTGTGCCAGGCGGGCCCCTGCGAGGCCGAGGAGCGCGCCTACAGCCTGCACGTGGGGCCCTGGGGCGCGTGCTCGGTGCCCCCCTCGAGACAGGCGAGGCAGGCGAGGAGGCGTGGGAAGAGCAAAGAACAGGACAAGGGCCGCGGGAAAGGAGGGCGCGACCCCGAGGCCCGGGAGCTTATCAAGAAAAAGAGAAACAGGAACAGACAGAATCGCCAGGAGAACAAGTACTGGGACATCCAGATCGGCTATCAGACCAGAGAGGTCACCTGCACCAACAAGACGGGCCAAGCCGCCGACCTGCGGTAAGGTTGCGCCGCCCGTGGCCACGCGCCTCGCTGTCGGGCCGTGGGCTCCAGGGTCCCTCGCGCGCTCCCCGATGCGCGGGGCCCCATGCGCGCAGCCCGGGGCGGGCGCCCGTGGAACGTGTTGCACTTGAAGGCGCTTAAGCTCGTGTGTGTCCGGGCCTTGTTTCCGTCTTGCTCATGTGTAGGCCCTAGACGGCCTGAGCTCATTTCCACTTGCTGTCAATATGAGAGATTTTCTGAGAGCTGATCCTGCTGCTGTAGGTCAATAGTGCTGTTTACACCCATAATGGGAGGGCGGGGGAGGCTCATTTAATGGCTGGAGTTTTGGGATTTTGAATTCAGACACACATTTTACTGAGAATAAGTCACACCTGTAATCTCTCCAAGTTTATAGCATTTTCAGAATTACCCCGTAAACAAAATCTAAACCACCACCCGGGGAACTATATACCTAGGGATAATTCTCTTTCACATTTTATAAAATGGGATAACTTTCCTCAGAGAGGAAAAAGGGAAATCAGCAGAAATTAAGGTAAGTAGATGGTATTTAATCATGAGTTTCCTAGTTTAGAAAACATGTAATTAATTGGCTGCGTTTTCTAAACAAATTATATGTCAAATTGTATCTGATGAAATGGTGACAGTGCTATGGAAGACTTTCTCATGTGTGGTTTATTTGTTGTGAAAATATTCACTGAGGATCTTTCATTGAGGATTATCTAAAGGATATGATGTTCTTTGGATTTTCTAAATTTTGCTCTTGGATAAGCCAGACCATCTGGGAGTGGCTTATGTGGATCATTTGCATAATTGCCTTTTCTGAAATATTTATGCAGTTATGATTTGGACTGAATTGAGAGAAATTATGGTAACATCACTCAGAATTTTATATCGTATATATTGTGGAAATGACATTGGAAATGTCATCTACTCCATCACACGTCTGTTCTTTAATTAAAAGCACATAAGATAAATTTCACCAATGTCTCAGCCCATGTGCGTCTGGAGAGCAGCTGGTTGTTTTCCTTATGGCCCCTGGAAATCTGGTAACAGATTACATTCTCCTGTTTACTTTGGCTGTTGGGAACAGAAACAGGACTAAGTGACATGCGTGTTGTTTACTAAGATACTCCATTGGCTTCATCTGTTTCTCACCCTCATTACTTTTCTTTATTCATTTTTGTGTGTGGTGATTTTGCTTTCTGCAGATTTTGAAAGCTGGTTTGAAGCCTTTTTTAGTTCAGGATATAGTGTAAATTAATGAGTAAACAAACAATCGACTTATCTAAGACATTTTCTCTCAGTATAGCGTTGTTCTAGTGACTGTTTTTAGGATATTTGCTTTTCTCTCCCCTCTTTGGACTTACACAGTTATATTTTCTCTCAGCCCAACAGTAATTTGCTCTTTATTTATTCTGGTGCCATCAGCCCAACTCCTTTCCTGGTCTTGCTAATGGTCCTTGTTCTCCTGCCTTTGTTGTCCAGCTCCCTTACAGCTCCTTAAGTGTGTATGTGTATGTGTGTGTGTGTATGAGTGTGTGTGTATGTGTTCACCTCTGAGTCTATGTCATGTGTATTTTCAAGTCAATCCCGGTTTTTATTATTTTATGACTATCCTTCTTTATTTTTTAAATATATCTTTATTGGGATATCAGGGAGAGGGAGAGAGAGAGAGATAGAAACATCAATGATGAGAGAGTCATTGGTCAGCTGCCTCCTGCAGGCCCCCATTGGGGATCGAGCCCGCAACCCGGGCATGTGCCCTGACTGGGAAACGACCTTATTCTGCTGGTTTCTTCAGCCTCCAAGACAATTTGAGTTGTCTCATGCTGTCACTGGTTTAGCATGCTGTAGACACTTAATTTTCTTTTTAACATTGACTAGTCAATTAAAAGTGTAATTAGAAGAGTACCTACTACTGCATAGAGCCTAACATACCCATGCAGCTGTTTGAAATAAACAAATATGTTTTAAAATCTGTAGATTATTTATCAGGTGCTTACATTCTTTGAGAAATACCATATCTAACTATTCTAATAAAATCATAGTTGCATATATGTTATAACTTATTAGGTCACAGATTAAACATTATGTTAAGCAAAGTGGTTATTAACATTTTTCTCATTTAAGAATTACATATATAAGAATATACATGAATAAACATATGATTCAGAAAGTTAAAGTGTTAGTGGAGAGACAGAAATCAGGTGTTTTGACCTAAATTTTGCTCCAACATTATATATAGCATATCAGTGAAGTTAATGAAATAAAGAGTAGATGGATAATACCATCAAAGGCACACAGCCACAGATCACAGACTTGGTGATTAAATTTAAAGTTATGTCTCATATCAAATTGAGAAGTAATTTTATCATGTAAGAGGATGAAAAATTATTTCCTATGGCTTAAAAATCTTATTACAAACACTAAATGAATTAAGATAAATAAACCTATGAATATTGGGCAAGCAGTTTATAAGCAAATAAAAATAATTTTTGCAGAATTACTGCTAGAACTTCCACATTAAAGAAAATAGATCTGCCCTGCTTCCTGCTTTCTAAACAGACTGAAACGAGTAGGAATAAAAATGCATATGGAAGTCCATTCTTTTATGATAATAAAGAACAGTCCCAGGCCCAAACCACACCTGATAGAGAAGATTTGGAGGATGTGGTACAATTAGACATAATTGAGGGAGGAGACTTTGAGAGGCATTATGTCTCTGCAGCTTTTATGAACTCAAAATCTCTGATTAACCTGAACTTTCTGAGGGGCCAAGCCAATGACACCACCTTGGTATGTCATGGTCTGTGTTAGTCAACGGGCTGCTGAAGAGTCTTTGAGTTCTGTGTGAAAACAGAATGGCATAATAGGCAGGACTGAACAAGGAGACTCACTGTGATATTACTGCCAGGAAAAGACTATCCATTTGATGGACTGAGGGGTTAAAGCTTTGATAACCAGTAGAAGAGACCTCTAAATCACTACACACGCCATGGACAAAGGGGGCTTCCCTGTGAACCAGTGAGTGTCAGCCAGGCCTAAATAGAGTATTTCCTCCAGGCCAAGAGCTGGTATGAAAGTGTGGGAAACAGTTCCCCAAGAAACCAAAGATAGGAAAGGTAATACATTTTCTTCTGAACCAAAAAGGAGAAAGAATTTCAGTAGTCAAAGAAGAGTTAAGATAACTGAATGAGCTTAAAAGTGATTTGGCAGAGTGCACAAAAAGAAATGGGGAATTCTACAGCAAGAAAAGAAATGAAATTCATGTTAGAAGAAACAAAATGTGGGAAAATATTCTGTGATGAGAAGAGTCGATGATATAGAAAACAGCTGCAGAACATCAAGTAAGCTGTAATTGTTTAAAAAGATGATATATATGGAAATAAAGCAGATCACTAGATGAAACTCTGGTGTTACCGAAGATAGCACCAGAAAAATTAGAACAAACGAAACAAAAATACAATGATATAATAGAACACTGTCCTTAAATTAAGGAAGACTGTAATCCACAACTTGAAATTGCACAGGGCCGATATTCTTCTAGAAGAGGCTGAAATTATATCATCGTGGAAGAATGTATATAGAGCAATTGTTATAGAGAGATAGACAAAGAGACATTGAACTGAAAGCCACAGTGTTACTCAATTCTGAAACACAGGACACATTCTCTTCAAAGTAAAATAAGGCAGGACAGCACATTATTTCCACTGATAGTTAGCATTCACCTGTAAGTACTAGTCAGTGTAGTTGAAAGGAGAAAGAAATGAAAATTGGAAAGCAGATGTCAAAATTAAGATGTTTTTCTCCAAATTTTATAGAAAACTCAAGATTATCAATTGAAAATATATTATAAACAGTAGAATAGCTCAGTGGGATAGTTAATGAAAGATAATATCCCAAGATCAATATATTCCCTAGATGCAAACAGCAATGGGCTCAACATTGATGGAAACAAAGGATTAAAATATCCCACTACAACAGTAAAAAAAAAAAAAAATCTGAAATAAGCCTAACTACAAGAGTTCTGCACATGATAACAGACTTTGAAAAGTGAAAAAGTAGATATGCGCTTGTTTAGGACATGTAGTAAATACACTGATTGCTCCTATGGTGTTCTTGCATAGTTACCAAGGGAAAAATAAGTAGATCATAAAAGCCAGGAAAATTCTGAAAAACAAAAGTAAAGAGAAAATACTAACATCACAAGTAAATTAAATGCATTTTATTCCATAAATAGGAATGATAACAATTGTATGTTAGTACATAAATAATCAGATCAAACAGAACTGGGTTGAGAAAAAAGATCCCTGAAACCTTAAAATATGTTTCCAGTGGTGAAGGAGCATTTCCAGTTTTGGGGGAAATTAATATGTTTTTGTTTAAGGGGCAATTTCTTTGTCATGTAAGGAAATAAGAGGGGAAAAAGAAAAGTATCCTTTTGTTAATTGTTATACAAAAGTGAGTTCAAGTATCATTCAATACTTTTAAATGTTTCTTTCAAATACTAGAAGAAAAAGTAGGATATTTAAAATCTTAAAATAAGGAAGGACACATTAGACCACAGATTGCAGAGATCATATAGGAAAAGATTGATATTTGCTCAGGAAAAATATTAACTAAGTTAAAACCAAGTAGCAAACTGAGAAAAAAATATTTGCAATACATATAATTGACAAAGAGCTAATTTTCTTAACACATAAAGAACTCCCACAAATCCTTACAAAATCTAATACAAAAATCAGCCAAAGTTCAAGAGAAGGAAAAGACAAGCTACGCCAGGGAAAATAATTGCAAAAGGCACATTTAATAAAGGGCTGTTACCGCAAATATGCAAAGAACACTTAAAACTTAACAAAAGTAAAACAGCTCAATTAAAAAATGAATCAAAGACCTTGATACCTCACCAAAGAAGATATACAGATGGCAAATAAACCTATGAAAAGATGTTCCCCGTTATATGTCATCAGGGAAATGCAAATTAAAACAACAGTGAG